CTGACAACTGGCTGATGCAGCCTGCCCTACTTGGGGGGAGGGTCAAGGACTAGAGACCAAAAGCAGGTTGGGGTAAATTTAACATCAGACACTGAGAGAATTGCTCGGGCTAAAAGAGTAGGAAGAGGGGGCCTGATTTGCCGTGCAGGCTTGGGCATCCACACCCTGGACATAGCACACATACTCAAGATAACATGGATTAGTTCCCCATGTTGTGTTCAAACCAATATGGTTAAAGAGTCGTAAAAAAGTGACTTTCCCTCCAACCCCCTCCCCCAGTGCTTATTTATGGGCTAAGTATGGGTTATAATCCATATCTGTACACAATCAGGGCTGATAGTTTTTGGGAAGCGTCTCATCTCAGGTATGTGGAGAGCCGAGGGGAGGCCGACTTGTTATCTTGCTGCCATCTACTGGCTGGATATTCCAACTGCAGCTCCCACAGGATCGTCTGTGCCTGGGCCCATCTTGGAGCAGTTTGCCCAATGAGGGAGAAGAACTGACTCGGGCTCACTGCTTTTTGTTTTTCAGGAGTTCACAGAATCTTGGAAGGGACCTCCAGGGTCATCTAGTCTAACCCCCTATACAATGCAGGAAATTCACAAATACCTTCCCCCCACACACTGCCAGTGACCCCTGCTCTATGCCCAGAAGATGACAAAAAACCCTCCAGGATCCCTGGCCAAAACTGGCCTGGAGAAAAATTGCTTCCTGACTCCAAAGAGGCAATCAGTATTTTCCTGGGCATGTAAGAAGGGGCCACGAGAACTAAGCACTGATAAAACCCTTCCTGCCCTGCCTCTCATGATCTGCCTAACTTCACAGAATCAGCATTGCTGTCAGATGGCCATCTAGCCTCTGTTTGAAAACCTCCAAAGGAGAGCCCACCACCTCCCAAGGAAGTCTGTTCTACTGAGGAACTGTTCTAATTGTCAGGAAGTTCTTCCCAACGTTTAGCTAAAAACTCTTTTGATTTAATTTCAAACCATTGGTTCTGGTCCGACCTTCTGGGGCAACAGTAAACAACTCTGAACCATCCTCTAAATGACAGGCCTTCAAGTACTTGGAGATGGTGATCATATCACCTCTCAGTCGTCTCCACTCCAGGCTTCCATGTACCTGTCCTGAGAAGTGTCAACCTAGTCTGAAGCCATTGTAGTGGTTTAAAAACATCTGAAGAGCTCTGCTGGGTCAGACCAATGGCCCATCTAGTCAAGCTTCCTGTATCATGCAGTGGCCAACCAAGGGAGAGCAATCAAATGAGGAGGGAGGGGAAATGAGTTTTAGTCCAAAAACAGATGCCTCCTCTTGAATGTCCATGGGGCCGAGTTCCTGAGGTTCTGTCTGCTACAGCCCAGTGTGAGGGGTGATAGACAGGAGCTGAGGAGAGACTATTTTTGGAAGAGCCCCTGAATGTTTCATTTGAGTATGGTATAGCACAGCTACCAGCACTGTTGTACTGTTTTCACAGATGAGTTATTTGAGGGTTTTCAAACCTGTGTATTCAGGATGTGCGATGTGATGGTATAGTCCAATCTTGTCACATCTTGGAAGCTGAGCAGATTTGGTACTTGGATGGGGAGCCATCAAGGAAAACTCTGCACATACCTGGTGGCCATGTAAAAAAGTGCAAACGTTTTGGAAAGACATCATCTATCAAATTGCTAGCTACAAAATACCTCTCAATCCAAATATACTAGTGCTTAACTTATGGAGGAAACAAACCTCCAAAATAAACAATAGAACTCTCATAGAAAACTTATGTGCAGCAGCTAGATTCACCATAGCTAAGTCGTGGAAGAGCTCTAAACCATTATTGACTTCTGACTGGATATCTAAGACATGTGAACTTTGTATATTAGATAAAATTTCAGAGTCTTTAATGCAGAAACTTATGAGAATTTCATCAGTCAAAATTTACTTCAGCGTGGTTTTCTTTTTTGGAATACCTTTCAGCAAAAGAAGAATTCTCCTCAAGTTTAGGCACAATTATTGTAATATGATATTTGGCTATTTTGTCTTTTACTTCAAAGTATGAAGGGTGTCTGCAGTTTAGTGATATATTGTAAATTGTACTCTTGTTCATTACATTTAATAAGATTTCTGTTTAAAGGGAAGTCTCTGCAGAGGAAGGCACCGGCAAACCACCTCTGCATCTCACTTGCCTTGACAGCCCCTTGACGGGGTCGCCGTAAGTCAGTTGTAACTCAGAGGCCCATACATACATAAACCATGTGTGAGGAACCCTTCTCAGGTAAAGGGAACCTCAGGAGCCCAAACCTTTCCCGACAGGTATGAAAGAATGGCACCAATAGCGGGGTTTAAAAATGAAATAAGAGGAAAGATTTATTCTTAATGAAAGGCAGGGAAATGGGGAAAAGGTTTTATGAGAGCAAACAGTTGGCAACCAACAAGTGCCCGCTACAAACACTATAAACAATGTTTAGGCTTTCCCAAACTCAGGAAGAACTAATAAAAATTATAAACCCTATCAGAAGGTTCCTTACAATAAGCAGGCAGTTGTGATACTAGTGAATTTATACCACCAATAAACCAGGGTTCCCCTGATTAGGCTCTGAATCCCAACTAGTCCCTGTGTGAGTGGATGTCTTTCCCTTGTTTAACCTGGGGCTGACCTGTTACTCTGGCAAATCCCTTCAGCTCTGCCCCTCTCTCTGGGACATCCTTTCACTGTCTCCCAGACTGAGCGTTTTCTCTCCGGAGGCAGCCACTCAAAAGGCCCCCTCCTCCATTAAATTCACTCTCTCCCCACAAAAAAACCACTCCAACCCCCCTTCCGTCAGCTCTCCTTCCCCCCCAGCCCCCTGCTGGATGCTTCCGTTGTCCTGGAGGCGACTCACCAATCAGAGTGAGCCTCTGCTACTACCTCCCCTCAGAGTGGTTTTTCATAGTACATCACACCATGGTACGGATACGTCCAACATTAAAAGGCTGAATGCTTGCAGTTTACATGCCGTGCTGTAAAAAGGTCCTAGGTCCAATCCGTAAAGGAAAGCAAGGTTGATTCATATGCTACCGTCCGTGTGGCCACCACAGGTCTTGCTGGGAACTCTGTGCTCAGAACTTATCTTCCAGGAGCAATTTAGACTGGGGAAGGAGGCTTTAGCTTTCCCCCATGTGCTGATTTTTTTCTAACTTGAAATTGTCCTAGGGAGCCTCTGTTTGCCCTGTTTGGAAAAATCTGATGGGGTTGCACATGCACTTTTCCAGTGAGTCCAGTGGCAGCTCCCCACGCTATTTCTGGTAAAGGAAACCGTACTGGAGGAAAAACGGCTGAAGCCCGCTCTCCCCACACACACCAGGGTCCCGCTCCGAATCAGACCCACATGCACCTAGGAATTAATAATTTATTTATTATTTATATTTATAGCCCGCCCATCCCACAAGCGGGCTCAGGGTAGATGACATCATGTCAGTAATATAATAAATACAGTTAAAATTTAAAACACAGTAATAGACATTGAAAGCAAGGTCACAGTTCAGACAAAGTAAACTGGCTGTGAGAGGTTCCCTGGCATGTTGTTTGGGTTGGTAGGTGGGTGACAACGATCTCATGGAGGCCATACTCGGATGCCCGCTACCCCAGCCAAAGGCCTGGCGGAACAGCTCCATCTTGCAGGACCTGCGGAATCGAAGAAGATCCCCTCAGGGCCCTGACCTCGACAGGGGGCATGTTCCACCATGCGGGGGCCTGGCCCTGGTCGAGGTAAGACGGATGTCCTTCGGGCCAGGGACAGCCAGGATTAAGAAGAGAAGAGATTGGATTTATACCCTGCCCTCCACTACCCAAAGGTGTCTCAGAGCGGCTTACAAACTCCTTTCCCTCCCCCTTCCAACAACAGACACCCTGTGAGGTAGGTGGGGCTGAGAGAGCTCTGACAGAAACTGCTCTTTTTCAAGGACAGCTCTTATCAGAACTACGGCTTGCCCAAGATCATCCAGGCAGGTGCAAGTGGAGGAGTGGGGAATCAAACCCGGCTCTCCCAGATTAGAGTCCGCGCACCTAACCACTACACCAAACTGGCTCTTAAGATCAAAGAACAGTAGTCCCGACCACGTCTGTTCACATGGGGAGAAGTAGACTTTGTAACATGTGAATCCACCCCCAGGGAGCAAGTTCGAGTCAAGACTTCTCCCTGTGTGAGACTGTGGCTAGTTAGGGTAGACAGTACTGGGTGAGAGGAAGTAGTGGTCTGACTCGTATAAGGCAACTTCCTTTTCACTGTGACCACTGTGGTCAATTGTCTGGTATCCCAACACTATCACTCTCTTTCTACTTCCAGCCACAGCTGTGTGCTGAAATAACTCAACTGACCTCAGACTCCTGTGTGCCACATGCCGTCGACTTGCTTCTGACCCCATGAATGAATGGCCTCCGAACATTGAGTTCTTAATAGCCTTGCTTGGGTCTTGCAAACGGAAGGCTGTGGCTTCCTTTATTGAGTCAATCCTGATTCCGTGAAGTTAGGCATATCATGAGAGGGAGGGCGGGAAGGGTTGCATCAGGGCTTAGTTCTCGTGGCCCTTTCTTACACGCCCAGGGAAATGCTGATCGCCACTTTGTGGCGAGGGAGCAATTTTTCTCCAGGCCAGTTTGGCTGGGGATCCTGGAGGGTTTTCTTGTCATCTTATAGGCATGGAGCAGGGCTCACTGGGGGTTTGTGGTGGGGGAGGTATTTGTGGATTTCCTGCATTGTGCAGGGGGTTGGACTAGATGACCCTGGAGGTCCCTTCCAATTCTATGATTCTATGAATAAGAACATAAGAACATAAGAGACGCCAATGTTGGATCAGGCCAAAGGCCCATCCAGTCCAACACTCTGTGTCACACAGTGGCCAGAAATACCAGTGCCATCAGGAGGTCCAGCAGTGGGGCCAGGACATTAGAAGCCCTCCCACTGTTGAATCCATCTCGGGTTTTCGTCTTTGCCAATATCCTTGAGCTTTTCCTAGCAAACCTCCGACTTAACCTTGGTGTTTGTTCCTGCAGATGTGGGGATCGGCGCACCCTTTGGCGGCAAGGACCAGCAAGGTGTGGTCTGCGTGTACAATGGCCGACCTGAAGGGTTGCACCGCAAACCTTCTCAGGTGTTGCAGGGACGCTGGCCGGACAGTCGTGCCCCTGACTTCTTTGGGTTCTCCATGCGTGGGGCCAAGGACCTAGATGGAAACGGCTACCCAGGTGAGGGCAATGAATTGAAATGACAGCAAAAGCTGCCTTGGAACATATGAAACAGAAAAGGGCCGTCGTTGAAAGCACAGAATGGCTGCAGAGCCCATGGTCTGCACGGACACGTTTGTGGGGTTTGTGTCGGCTTCTGAAACAATTGCTTCCCTGCCTTCCTTCCACCTAGTTTCCAAGGGGGCTTGTTGTGACTCAGACATTACATCAGGGGTGTCACACATGAGGCCTGGGGGCCGGATCAGGCCCTCAGAGGGCTTCTATCAGGCCCACAGTGGAACTGGCCGTCTTCTGCTGCTGCTTCTTCTAGTTCTGCTGCTGCTGCATCATTGTAGGTCTGAACAGCATACTCAAGACTGCAACAGCACAGACATTTTGATGCAATAATTCAGAGCAAGAGGTGTCAGTTATTAGACACCGTTAAATAAACAAAATATTGCAAGAGTGCTATTGCTTTAAGCATGATTTTAAGGGGGTGGGGAAACCTTTGTGTTCGTGTCCTTTATAAAGTTTATATCTCCACTACCTGGCATTACATTTTATGGCACACATGACCCGGCCCAACAAGGTCTCATTTATGTCAGATCCAGCCCTCATAATGAGTTTGACACCCCTGCATTACATTCCAAAAATGATCATATTAAACACCTATGTTTAGTTAGCTAGTTAGTTACTTCATGTACATCTTGCCTCCCTTCCCAGTGGGGACCCAAAGTTGCTTACATTGTTTTCCACCCCTCCATTCGTTCTTCACGGCAGCCCTGTCAGTTAGGTTAGGCTGAGGGTGTGTGACCGGCCAACTTCAGCGGCAGAGTGGAGATTCCAATCTCGGTGTCCTGGGTCCTATTCTGCCACTCTAGCTGCCACCCCATGCTTGTGTAACCATTTAAAAACTTGCATGAGTAAAGCTTGTCACCCCAAAGTCGCTTATATTGACACAGTCTGAATATGTCTGGAGAGGGTACTCTATAATCGGCCACAGCCACAGAGATAGCCCTCTCTCCAGTCACATAAGAACATAAGAAGATGCCTGCTGGATCCGACCAATGGTCCATCAAGTCCAGCATCCTGTCTCACACAGTGGCCAACCAGTTCCTCTGGATGGCCAACAGCAGGGCAGAGAGGCCGAGGCCTTCCCCTGATGTTGCCTCCTGGCTCTGGGATTGAGGCTGACTGCCTCGGAATGAAAGATAGCCCCCTTTCCAGACACGGCCCACCTGACTTATGAAGGTGGAAGACCCCAGAGTAGAACTTCAGCCAGATCTTAAATATCAGACAATCTAATATGAGAGAAGGCAGTGCCTCGGGTATCTTGGCCCCAAGCAATTTCAATAGTTATTAATTAGAGTTTTATCTTGGCCTCCCTCCAAGGACTTCGGGATAGCATGCATGTCGCACACACGTTTTATCCTTGCAACAAACCCGTGAGATGGGGCAGTTGGCCCAAAGTCACCCAGTGAGCAACTGGGCAGGAAGGAGATTTGAATCCATGTCTCCTGGGTTCAAGTGTGTCTCCTTAACCGCTGTGCTGCACTGGCTTGCAAATCAGTTTCTGGTATATGTACGTAGTCATGTAACCGTGTCTCCCTGATATTTGTAGGAGGCCAGTCCAACAAGGTTTGTATCATAAAGTGAATCATATCATTATCATCGGTTGTATAATTATAGATCATTATGCCATGAAACATTGCCGTGGGCAGAAGGAATTTCCATCAGTGGAGCGTAATTTCACCCTCTCTTCCCACTGCAGTCCAAAATGCCCTCCAAGTGCTGCTGCTGGGGGGCAAGACAGCCCCCGGGACTGCTTGCAGGGGAATGAGAGATCTGGGGTGGGGGTCAGGAATTGCCCAATCACACAAATCCTCAGTAGGTTCCAGCCAACCCTATAATTTGTACTGGGCATTAATGTAATATTAACATAGAGTAACATAGAGCTGCGGTGGCTCAAGTGGTTAAGACGCTGAACTGCAGGCTGTGGAAGGTCGGTAGTTCAGCAGTTCGAGACCCGAGTGTGCCGCATGACGGAGTGAGCTCCCGTCTCTAGTTCCAGCTCCTGCCAACCTAGCAGTCTGAAAGCAAGAAATTGCAAGTAGATAAATAGGTACCACTTCAGTGGGAAGGTAACAGTGTTCCGTGTGCCTTGGCGTTAAGTCATGCCGGCCACATGACCACGGAAACGTCTTCGGACAGCGCTGGCTCTTCGCCTTTGAAACGGAGATGAGCACTGCAACCCTAGAGTCGGATTCGACTGGCTTTCGAGCAAGGGCACCTTTAACTTTATCTTTACCTTACAGTTTCTTAACCACCTCTCGTAAGTACAAGTTGGAAAGTGCTGTGGCGGTATTCTAAAAGTCTTGGTCTCTAGAACATTCCTGGTTGCAAAGACTGGCTCCTGATGTGAGGTGTCAATGTGGAAAAGTTACCACCTTTTAACACGGGCAGTAAGAAATAAGCCTGATGAGTCTCATTCATAACAACATTGTCCTCGCTAAATGCGTATAAGTTCTGTGGTCTTTATCGCATGAGGAATGGCATGTGCCTCTTGCTATAAACCACACATTCTTATGCAAGAGCAACAGGCAAGAGGACCTCTGAGTACATGTGGAGTGATTTTTCCCTTAGTGGTATTCATTTAGGATGCAAGTATAAGATTCAGGCTAACGGGAATGACATCTAGGCAGGCTTGAGTTCATTTTCTTCATAAGAACTATCTTCTGGGAAACAGTCTGTCAAGATTTCCTGAGCTCAGCTGTCTTTTCTCTCCCTCTGTCCTGCAGATCTCATTGTGGGGGCCTTTGGAGTAGACAGAGCTATGGTTTACAGGTAAGCACCATGTATAATCCTGACCTGGATGGGCCAGGCTTGCTTGATCTTGTCAGGTCTTCGAAGCAAAGCAGGGTCAGTCCTGGTTAGTATTTAGATGGGAGACCACCAAGGAAGTCAGGGGTTGCTATGCAGAGGGGAGGCAAAGGTGAATCACCTCTGTTCCTCTCTTGTCTTGAAAACCCTATGAGGTCACCATTCAGCTGCGACTTGATGGCAGTTTCCAGCACCACAATGCAAAAAAAATGTGGACCCAGATCTACTTTTCTCAGCCTGGCATTTGATGACTGCTGCTTCCTCGGGAGGTGGTGGGCTCTCCTTCTTTGGAGGTTTTTAAGCAGAGGCTTGATGGCCTTCTGACAGCAATACTGATTCTGTGAACTTAGGCAGATCATGAGAGGGAGGAAAGGAAGGGTTGCCTCAGTGCTTAGTTCTTGTGGCCCTTTCTTACGCAGCCAGGCAAATGCCGATCGCCACTTTGGGGCCAGGAAGCAATTCCCTCCTGGCCAGTTTGGCCAGGCATCCTGGAGGGTGTTTTGTTTGTTTTGGTTTTGTTTGCCATCTTCCAGCCATGGAGCAGGGGTCACTGGGGGTGTGGGGCGAAAGTATTTGTGAATTTCCTGCACTGTGCAGGGGGTTGGACTGATGACCCTGGAGGTTCTTTCCAACTGTTTGATTCTATGCTAAGAATCTGCCTCATGCAAGACCACCTTTCTTGCTTTCTCTTCTCAGAGGACGCCCCATAGTCCACGCCACTGCCACTCTCAGCATCTTCCCCACCATGTTTAACCCAGAAGAACGAGCGTGCATCCTGGAGGACACGGGGATCCCTGTTGCCTGGTGAGTGGTTGCAGGGGATTGCTGTCCTGGAGGGTGCCAGCTGTATTACGTTCCCAGGGTAGCCTGGGAACTGTAGTCTTGTGACCTTTAAGAAAAAGGCATAGGGAACCATTGGTGGAGGAAGGTGTCCTTACAATGGGTTACATGCCTCAACCCACTTGCTCCATGGGCAAGGGGTTAGGCAAATTAATTTGCGATGTTTTCCCAGCTGCACTGGGGGGCAGATTCTCAATCCACGCCCTGTCTAGGTCCACACATGCCATATAATGAAGGCTTAGAAAATAAAGACTGCTGACATCTTACAGCAGTCAAGGAATTAAGTCATAACACAGAGACCATTTTCAGATGGTCTCTACATGAGACAAATAGCATGCAGATGAGTCCTGAAACTCCCAAGTCTTATGGAGCTAAATGGAAGCTGGAACAGCCCCTCCGGTTATTGAAGAGATGTTGTGGGGGAAGGTGGTATTTATAGGGGGGGGGGTTGGTTTCTCAGCCACTTGGGGGAGGGTTGGTGGTCCTGGCCACCAGCCCAATCTGACCATGATTTGGAGGATTGTAGTATATTAGCGGCGCAGCTGGGACCCGCACAGCTGGAAGGAAGGGCTGAGTTGGCTAGAAGTGATTCCCCATTGGACATGGCCGCTCCACTTCCCATGCTGTGGAATCAGAGGCCTTCCCCAGCTCCCACAATCTGCCTGCAATATTCTAGTTTACGCTGCTGCATCTTTTTCAATCAATCCATGAATCTGCATTTGTTGCAATCATCAGCCAAGATTGACACATGGGGAGAGTCAGCAGCACATCTACATACGATATAATTTCAAAGCCGCATAATAGCCTGATTTCAGTCATGTAGGAGTAATTAATAAAAAGACGTAACCAACTGCTTTCCTTGTTGAGCATACCCGGGTGCAACACTTGGCCACCTTAATGATGGTTTCGTTAGAACAGTCTGAGAAAGGAGGGAAATACCAAAGTCATCAGGTTTGCCTGGAAAAACTGATAAGATTGGAGTTATGTGTAGAGATTGGATGTCCGTATACAATGGTCACTGCAGTAACACATGGTTGACTGTTTTTTGCATGTAAATTTTCTGCAGCAGCTTTGCTGTAGCACCTGCCATTTTGGCCTGGGGCTCTCTCCTTTGTTACCCTTGACCATCTTGATCAATTTGGAAGAACCTAGTGCAGATCCCCCTCTCTCTTCCCACCCTTCCTAAGGCTATCGGGTAAAGTTAGGTGTCCAATTCTGGCTATACAAGAACAGTTTCCATCCCGGCTACCAGTTTCTCCTGCAAAGTGCTGCGTTTCCTCTTCATCGTTTCCAAAGAGCTTTGCCATCAAATGATCCCACCCTCTTCAGTCATCCCATTATGCAAGCAGGGAGCTGAGGATGTGACCAGCTCAAGGCTACCCAGAGAGAATCAAGCGAGGATGTGAACCCAGGGCATCCTTATTCAAGCCTAGCCACCAGGTAGCGCTGTCTTCCGCAGGTTACTTACCATATTCCTCTGCTTCCCCCTCCCTTTCTGCGGTCTCTCAACAGCATCAACCTGAGCTTCTGTCTGAACGCATCTGGGAAGCATGTGCCAGACTCCATCGGTGAGTAGTGTGGGGGGACAGGACTCGGAAGAGAAACACGGAATGGGTTTGGAGAAAAGGTCTGCGGGAGCAGCTTTAGTCAGATAATTCAGGGCTCTTTTTGTAGAAAAAGCCCAGCAGGAACTCATTAGCATCATAGGCCACACCCAACAGCAGAAACTCATTAGCATATCGGGCCACACCCCTGACAGCACAGCTCATTAGCACATTAGGCCGCCCCCCCGTGTTACCAGAAGTGTGGTCATCCAGCCACACCCACCTTTTGCTTGTTATTCTGTTTACTTTGTTGTCAAAACCCAGGGCCTTTTTTTGTAGCAGGAACTCCTTTGCATGTTAGGCCACACACCCCTAATGTAGCCAATCCTAATGAGTTCCTGCTGTTGGGTGTGGCCTATTATGCTAATGAGTTCCTGCTGGGCGTGGCCAACTTGGGAGCCAGCCAGAACTCCATTCCTGTGCGTTCCTGCCCAAAAATAGCCCTGGTCAGATGGCAGCCCTACAAGGAGTATGTAGGTAGGTAGCCAGCGTGGTACAGTGGTTAAGATGTCAGATCCCCACTTGGCCTTCTGGGTGGCTTTGTGCCAGTTGCTCTCTTCCAGCCTAATGTACCTCACAGCCTTGACATGAGGATAAAATGAGAAGTGCCCTGCTGGTGCGTCTGGTCTAGCTTCCTGCTTCACACCATCAGCCAGACAGTTGCTCTGGAAGGCCGACAAACAGGGCATAGAGACTGAAGGACACACAACCACGTATGCTACTCTGAGCTCTTTAGAGGAAGGGTCGGATTAAAACGCGCGGGATAGATGGGCGGGGGACACCAGGGCATGAGTAATGTGAAAACTGCATGTTTTGCCCTAGTGATACAGGAAAACGCTTTCTAAGATTTTGTTTCTTTGGGATTGTAGTTCCTTGGGGGGGGGGGCTTCTTCCCCATCCCTCCCTTGAAAATCTTATCGGTGACAAGGTAGAGAATTGGTAGGTGACACCCTCGTCTCTCTTCCTGTTAACCCTTTATAGCCCTCTTTACAACTCTTTCCTCTCCCCTGAATCTGTGGAGATGGGGAACAGGAACAACAAAATTAAGAGGGCTGAACCTACATGGGGGGGGGGGCACACCAAAGGTGCTTAAGAAACTCTTTTAACTCTGAAAAGTTCTTGAACATTTTTTGAGCCTTACTGGGCTCTCCGGGGAATTCTGAAACCGCTCCTGGGAGATCTGGTTTCATTTCCTTTGTCCGAATAAAAGTTGTATTAAGATCATGTGGCTTCTAATAAGAACTGTTGATGTTGTGGGCCAGTGCTGATTGGGGAGGGGTTTAAATTGGATTATTGGCAAGTCAACACTGTATGGTAATGTTATTTCCATGCTCTCCTTTCAAGACGAAAACGTTGAATGTCGTGGGCCGGTGCTGATTTTTTGGATTTTAAATCTGATTATTGGCAAATCAAAGCTGTATAGTAATATGCTTTTCTTTTTTGTGAATATTTGTGTGTGTGTTTTGCATGCCTGGAAGTCATGGCAACTTCTAGCGACCCCTAGTGGGGTTTGGACGTTTCAGAGAGGTGGCTTGATAGCTTGCCTGTGTGTCCCAAGTCTTGGTATTCCTTGGAGTTCTCCCTTCCAATTACTTGCCAGGGTTGGCCCTTCTTAGCTTCTGGCAAGATCAGGCTTGCCTGAGCTATCCAGTTCAGGGCAATACAATAATATTGTCTTGAATCAATGAATAATGTATTGTGGTCCACAACCAGATACAAGTTCACACAGCAAATCATTTTTAAGTATGAAGGTACAGATGTTAAAACACTCCAATTAGATGAGCAGATACAGAATTATAACAGAGTAATGAATTAAAATACATATAAAAGTTCATTAAAATAATTAAAATACATATAGAAGTTCATAAGATAACATCATAAAACTAATTATAAACCTAAAAGTAAAAACAGGCACTATTTAGTTTGAATTCCTAATAAAATCTAAATCAGAATTCAGAAACAGAAGTAAAATTTATTACGTACGCTAATCGCCTGAGCACGGAATTTGGCTGTTGCTTTAGTAATAGGTGGTTTTTCATCTGCTAATAGTTTATCTAAGCTTGCCCTGTCTGACACAGTGGCCAACAAGGGGCAGAAATGTTGTGTTGTGTGTTTCTTTATAAAGCGAGCAGGGAGAAGAAAACATGTTCTGTTGTTTCCACCTCAGCTAGAGGGCAGGGGCAGGTCCTCTCAGAATATAGGGTCTTCTTATACCTTCCTTACAAAAAGCCTGCATGGCATGGCGTCACATCTGTCCAGTTCCAAAGCCCTCCCACGAGGGGGGAAATCTAAAGTTTAAAGATATTTGGCGATTGTCGTGGCGTATCTCATCTCCTCAGACGCGCTGAAGTCGGGAGACTTTGTTCAGTCTTGCTGGTATTCCGTGTCACAGGTTCTTTGCTTAATTAAAGATTTAGCCTGATCAGAGGACTGTAGTAAAAGAACGCCAGGTTGAGGACCCATTTTTCCAAGACCATCCTCAACTATATGTAACCATCTCGGTTGGTGAGAATCTTGCAGGACAAGGGGGAGAAGGCCTTTTGTGATCATATATATCTTAAGCCATTGAAAGGCGGATGCCAAGAGAATCCTCGCCTCGATCCTCATTTGGCTGGTTTCTAAACGAAGGAGGGAATTAGGAACACTGGGGGGGGGGGGCTGTAAAACAGCACAAAGAAATTTAGATTGTAACTTTCCAAGTAAATTCAGACTTGTAGCCGAAACGCCAGTAAAGGTGCCATACGCAAGCTGGGCTGTTACTTTTGCCTAAAAGAGCTTCAGTGCAGCAGGTACTTAAAGACCCCCTCTTAGAATGGTACAATCTCAGTATCGCCTGCATAGTCCTTTTGGCGCACTCTGCTTCCATTTACAATGTGCAGCATAAGACCCATTTTCCTGGAATACTACCCCAAGATAAATAAATTTGTTAACCTGCTCAATTTTATTCCCTTGCATCGACCATACTTTTTTTGGAGGGCGTTTACCAGACACCATCACTTCAGTCTTATTATAATCAACAGAGAGATGTTCTTTGTCACAGTACATGGCAAAACTGCCAACTGTCCTATGGAGTCCCAGTGGCGTCCTTGATAAAAGGAGCACATCGTCTGCATATAGTAAGGTCGATATATGACACGAGCCAAGTTTTGGGGGGTGAAACTCAGTATTTGTCATGTGCTTAACTGCATCACTCAAATAAAGACCGAATAAAAAAGGAGCTAGGAGGCAGCCTGGTCTGACCCACTTAAAAGTATTCATAGGTTCTGTGAGGTCCCAAAGGACTAGGCAAAGCACGGATAAGGAAGAGCAACCTTTTGTCCATATTAGTATCCTCTGGTTTCCCCCCCATAATCATTGCCTAGATAAGGAATCGAAGGCCGCCTTTAATTTATTTATTTTATTTATTTTCATTACATTTATACCCCGCCCTTCCCGCAAGCGGATTTAAATCAATAAAGGAAACATATAGGGAAGTTGGACCTTTGGCAGAGTATTTTTCAATTAAATGTTGAAAGATCGGACAGTACTCCATGGTTGATCTTTCTGCACTAAAGCCAGCTTCTTTTTTTTTGGTATAATCTCTTCTTGCTCCAACCAAGTTCCCAGCTTATCTAATAAGTGACTAGTGTATAGTTTACTAATAATATTTAAAAGCATGATAGGCCTATAGTTAGCAGGGTCATTTTTCCTATCCTTTTAGTAAATAGGGGACTACAATTGCAGTTCTCCATTGCTTAGGAATGTGACCTGAGTTATCAATGTACGTAAATAGTTGTCAGGACCCACAGCCAAACAACGAAGTACACGCTTCCAGGAAGGTTTTACTTTTATTGAAAAGCCATAGATGCGATAATAAGAACACTGTTAGGAATGAAGGGCTACCTGGGTGCATAATAGGATATAGGGCATTCGTATGCGTCCCCCCTAGCAATAACCAATTAGGTGGGCTCCCGCGCTCGGGAGACTGCAAGACTCTCTAACGGTTGCGAAGCTGGGAACAGAGAAGCTCCCACGGACGATAGACACCACAATCTCCACCAGTATAATTTTAAAGATAAGCGTTGCAGCTTTGAAGCAATTAAGCGCATGGGAAGGAATGCAAAGCAATTAGAAAACATCTCCACACTCATGGCAGCGTAGCTGACAATAGTACAGCTAAAACTGTGCCACCAATCCATATTTTCTTTCAGGGATTCAGGTGGGGATACTGTCAGATCCTGGGGCTTTCCCATTTTTAAGTCTTGCAGTGTGTGCTTTTACTTCCTGAGGAGTAACCAGAGGCCATTGGGGGAAGGGTTTCCAGGGCTTCAGGGACAGGGTCCCAGATATGATCCTCATATAGCCCCGGGGAAAAAGAGGACCATCTGTCCAGGGAAAATTGACTTGCTTTCTTTTCAAGATGAAGATGTTAGGTTTTATTGTAGCAAGATTTTATACACACACACACATTTTATAATTGGCACTAACTCAATCTGAGTGAGCCCCAGGGAGAATGACACTGATGATGGATTTGTCCATTCCTGGCTCCCTGCTTAATTTATGTCCTCCATGGTCTAACTTACTGGATGGGAATAAGTCTTTGTCACGGGTAGAAGAAGGGGATCACGTCTGGTTCTTTCTTCTTGAGGCTCCACAGAGAAGCAAAGGGGCACTGGAGACCTTGGATAACATCCTGCATAGCGGTCACATCAAACTGCTTTTGGGGATGTGACCAACATTCTGGGTGGCGAACGCTGAATCTCACTTGGCACCCTCTTCATCTCTGTCTCACCCGGGCAGGGTTCACTGTGGAGCTCCATCTCGACCGCCACAAGCAGAAGGGGGCAGTGAAGCGGGCGCTCTTCCTGCAGTCCCGCCAGCCCCATTTGATTCAGACGGTCCAAATTCGCAATGGTGCCAATGCGGTGTGCCGCGAGATGAAGATCTACCTCCGGGTGAGTTGTGGTTCATACCAAAGATTCCCCCCCCATATCCGTGCCTTTGGGAGCACATGAGTCTGTATTGGCGATCGGTACCATTTGCACTTCCCAGTTCGTCAGTGTAATAATTGTTTCTTTAATTTGTTTGCACGTGAAGTTTATTTTGTTTGCACATGAAGTTTGCACATCATCAGATCATCTGTCCCTCGAGGCCAGCCCAGGCTGGTTTGGTGTTACTGTCTCCCAAAAAGTCTGGAGCAGAAAAAAGGGTCTCTCCCATTCCTTTAGCCCAGGAATGAGCCTTGTGCATGTAAAACATTTGCTGTACCTCTAAGCTGTCATGAGCTCCACCCCAGTATCCTGGGCTTGCTTGAACCATGTGGCTTGAGTTTGGGACCCTCATCCAGGGGTCCCCACCCTTTTTGAGCCTGCAGGCACACCTGGAATTCTGACAAAGTGTTGTGAGTGCTGCTGCGAAAGAGCTGCCGCAGAAGGGGAAGCCAACTGTCACATGGCTGCCACAGCTTGCCTTCAGTCGCACAGTGAAGACCCTTGTACAGTGGTAGCAGCTGCTGCCACCGCAGATTTCTTTTTAAATTAAATCTCAAGTGGCTTGTAATGATTCCTTGTTTTATGAGTGTGTGTGTGCCTTTAAATGCTTGGTTGGAGTGCATGGTTAGTAGATTATAGTGACCGAGAGAGAAAAATGTGCTGTGATTGGTGGATGACAGAGTGTGGGAGGGGTTTTTGAAGTGAATCTGTGTGGGTATGTCAAGTGTGTCAGTTATGAGAGACAGAAATCAGTTGGAATTGTTCAGTTAGAGAGTTAAGTCAGAGAGTCTTTAGTTAGTTCTGAGTGAGTTCTTAAAGAGTGCAGTATTTATGTCCTTAGCCTGTGTGCCTGACTATAGGAAAGAGTGACTCCTGTTAATGTTGGAACTGAGTGTCAAAACAAACAAAAAGTAAAGGAAAAAAGACTGTGTGTGGTACATTTGATAGACATATTTTCAAGTCCCTTAATCCAAGATAGTTACAGAATAACCAACCTCATATTTCGTTCTTCAATAAATCATCTTTTGTTCAAGTTTATCCCCGAATTTAGTTCTATCTTTCCTCAGGACCACATAGATCCCTGAAAAGCCCCGACTCTAGGTTACCTTACCAGAAAAAGAAACAGAGAGAAGGTTTGGAAATCCTTACGTTCCTGGTGGCAGCAGAATCTACCCCGTTTACAAAAGCAAAGAGCACATTTAAAGGGAAAACCAGTCCTCCCTAAAGAGAGGACGCCACATGGCCAATCTGAAGCCTTACTGGGCAAAAGCCCTACCTGGCACCATCCACATATTATTGGCTGCTTGAGAGCTCAGCCTACTAGGCAGGAGCATGTGATTGGTACACTCACCGGTGCACAAACATGGTTGGCATGGCATACATTATAGCAATGCCGCAAGGGATAGGTAGACACATCAAGATGGTCAGTGTTAGTCTGTCTGTAGGATTAGATGAGAGCAAGAGTCCAGTAGCACCTTAACACAGATCTGTTCCAGAGTCCCCGTTGTCTTGCCAAAGTGCATTAGGAGACCCATGCGCTGAGCCTTGCAGGTTCCTACATTTTTAACATGCATGGCTCTCTCTCTCTTCTCCATCCCAACAGAATGAGTCCGAGTTCCGTGACAAGCTCTCCCCCATCTACCTGTCGCTCAACTTCTCACTGGATCCAAAGGCCCCGCTAGATGCCCATGGGCTGCAACCCATCCTCAACTACCTCATACACAACCACATCGAACAGAAGGTACTGGCGGGAAAAGAGAGGGGAAGTGTCCGATGGGGCTGGGCCTGGCCGCTAGCAGTTGACTCTTAGCATTTAGTGAAAAGTAAGCTGGTTTATCAATGGTCTGGAGAGTATGTCTCTCCTCCCTTTCAGGAAGCACTGCGGTGAACAGCTTGGTGGTGGAATATACTGTCAAGTCACAGTTGACTTATGACAATCCCATAGGGGCGATCCCCCATAGGAAAGAGATGAGCAAGGTGGTTTGCGGTTGTCTGCTTCTGCATAGCAACCCTGGAGTTATTTGATGGTCTCCCATCCAAGTACTCACCAGGGCTGACCCTGCTTAGCTTCCGAGATCTGATGAGATCAGGCTGCCCTGGGCCATCCAGGTTGTGTCCCAAGCAAGTTACCTGGAGAGAAAATAGCACGTAGGGGCGATAGAAGATCAAAGCTCAGGGATGGCGCCTTAGTGCCTCCTTTCTCATGGTGTATGCCTCTGTTCTGTCCAGGAGTATTTGTTAGCCAGCCCAATCCTGGAGACACCAGTGTGATCCAGATTCTAGCTAGTATATTTTATCCCTCCCTTCCAGCCCTGTAGCCAGGATTTTGTAGTTTGAGGTGCAAAAACTTGGCTGGTGGGGCTGCCATTATTATTTGGTGTAGTGGTTAAGTGCGCGGACTCTAATCTGGGAGAACCGGGTTTGATTCCCCACTCCTCCACTTGCACCTGCTGATGTGACCTTGGGTCAGTCACAAGCTCTGGCACAGCTGTCCTTGAAAAAAGAGCAGTTTGTGTTGGAGCTCTCTCAGCCCCACTCACCTCACAGGGTGTCTCCAAGTGAAGGGCGGGGTATAAATCCAATCTCTTCTTCTTCTTCTTCTATAATGACGTGCCCCTCTCCCTCCCCTCCTGCAAGGTTTAAAGCGATCCTTGAAATGCTTTGGGAGAGAAGTGGGGGCGGCGCACACCTGGACACTTTTGGGGCCCTTTCTTCTCTAAAGCATTTAAAGGGATCCTTTAAATGCTTTTAAGAAGAAGCGTGCACCCCTCTCCTTCCCCTCCTGCAAGATTTAAAGGGCCCTCCAGCTGATCGATGAGCCACATGCTCCCCGCCGATCAGCTGAAGGGCCCTTTAAATCCTGCAGGAGGGGAAGGAGAGGGGCGTGCGCCAGCACTCTTGGGAGAGGCCAGCAAAGAAATAGGTGCCTCTCCAGCAAGGGCATCCTAGAAAACTTCCCAGTGGGCTACTGGTGGCCAAGAGGGAGCCAGGCTCTTGTACAACTCTGCCTGAGCCCCAGGGGCTGCTTGGTCCACACCTCTCATTAGCCATGGCAGTTGGTGTCGGCTCTCCAGCTCCCTCCTCCTGCACTGCTTCTGGTTTAGGGGAAGATGCAGTGAGTGAGCTAATGCCCATTCATCGGCCCCACTGAGCTAAATGTCCCTGCAATGCTGGCTTGTCGCCCAGAAGGGGCCGCTCAGCCCCCTCCTGCTCTCCAGTCTCACATCTGGCCTTCTTTCCCTGCCAGGCCCAGATCCAGCTTGATTGCGGTGAAGACAATGTCTGCGTCCCTGACCTGCAGCTTGAAGTCCTTGGGTAAGAAGGCTCTTGCTGCTCTACACCCCTAAGGCCAGTTTGGTGTAGTGGTTAAGTGCGCGGACTCTAATCTGGGAGAAGCGGGTTTGATTCCCCACTCCTCCACCTGCACCTGCTGATGTGACCTTGGGTCAGTCACAAGCTCTGGCACAGCTGTCCTTGAAAAAGAGCAGTTTGTGGCAGAGTTCTCTCAGCCCCACCCACCTCACAGGGTGTCTGTTGTGGGGAGGGGAAGGGAAAGGAGTTTGTAAGCCGCTCTGAGACTCCAAGTGAAGGGCGGGGTATAAATCCAATCTCCTCTTCTTCTTCTAAGGTCATAGTCAGGTGCCCCAATATGCACACTCATACACAGGCACCTTTGGTAGTAGTAGAATTTGGGTCACCGTGGTCTCCCTTGGTGCCTGGAAGGACCTACCCACCCCCCGCCACGCCCTGTCCTGAAATGGAAGTACAAGAGCAAAAAGCTGCTAGTGACCAAAATGGTGCCCTTCCCTTCCCCACTCAGTGATGGAAGCTCTGCCTCTGCTGCCGGTTCTCCCTTCCCCTCGCTCCCTCTGATGGCAGTTGTAAGCAGCGCCAACATCACAGATCCGTGTTTCTGTCATAAGCAGCGGGTGTGGCCCCTGAGGATTCTGTTGCCGCAGAACCCCTGGTGACAGTCGGGGCAGGGAGAGCGGTTTGTTCCATTCAGTTGCTGGAGGCTTCCTTCGGTGAGCCAGATGCGGCTTCAGTTTCCTGTTCTCGATCAAGGAAGAGGGAAGAAGAGGACAGAAACTTAGCAGCAGTTGGCTGGATGCGTTGGGGATTATGGTTATTTATGTGTCTCCTTCTTTGTGACGTCACCATCTTGAGTGTGCGGTTAAGTTCAAGTGTCTAACTGTTCTTAGACTCCTTGGGGATGGGTGGATGGATATTAATTTGTCCTGTTCGTTTCTGTCCCACAATAAATTCTGGCCTTTCTGCCCACTTCTGTATGAAGTGTAAGCTGTAGGGTTGCCAACTCTGTGTTGGGAAATTCCTGGAAATTTGAGAGTAGCGTTTGGGGAAGGGGAGAGCCTCAGTGGAGCATAATACCATAGAATCCTCCTTCCAAAGCAGTCATTTTCTCTAGGGGAACTCATCTGTGTACTCTTGGAGATGAATTTCAGATCTCAAGGTGCCACGTGGAGGTTGGTAGCCCTAGTGAGAGGAGGCGCTTGGGGAGTTGTCGTGCCTGTGATCATTCAGGCCTGCTACATGGCACAACTGAGAGAGAACCTGAGAAAGTGAAGGACCTTTCTTGCAGGAATCAGGGAGGGAGGAAAACCAAGGTGTTGCTCTTCCCATAACTTAAAGCCATGGTAATGGTACAATCCCTGTAGCTGTGAAGGGAGCCTAAAGGGTGCCAGGGAAAACCCTTTCCCTCACCCATGGCAAGTCCCTCTTGCACCAGGACACACCCTCAGAGCTGGTTGTTGCTGCTGGCAGGGCCGGCTCACCCGCTAGGCGAACTAGGCATTCGCCTAGAGCGCTGACCGGCCCTTAGGGGCGCCAAACAGGACGCAGCGCCCCCCCACCAAAGCCTCCCAGTCCCCGCCAAAAGGACACGGAGGGGGGCAGCACATGCAGGCACAGCAGTGTCCCCCCCGGGAAGTCCTTCCCGCGGGTTGAGCGAGAGGAAGGCAGCAAAGGCGCGACTCCACCCCGCCCTGCCCCCCAAACTACAGAATCCGCTTTGAAGGTGCTTTCCGGCCAAACGGGGTCAGTCCATACAGTGGGATCCAGGGGGAGTGAGAGTGGACTGAGAGTGGATCATTGGGGGGGGGCAGCCCCAGTCTCCAGAGGGGGTCTGGGCGGCGCCTGCAGGGCCCCGGTCTCCTGCGCCCGTCTGACTGCTGCCTCCTCATCCCAACTGCCTGCCCGAAGCGGAGTTCGGTGCTGCGGGCCGTCCGCCTCCCCAACACCCCCACCCCCCCGGCACAGGGGCCGTCCCTACCTCTCACCGGGCCAGATGGGGAAACCGCCGGATCCCGGGCGCGCCAGCTCCGCACTAGCACTCAGTCCCTCCCACTGGCTTTGGCAGAGCCGGGCTCTCTTGTGGTGAGCGACACCCTTCCGCACCCTCCACTGGGGAAAAGAAGCAGAGAGACCCCCCTCCCCCCTGGCCCCGGCTCACCCCGACCCCTGAGGGCACCCCGGAGGCCAGGCCTGCTGGCAGAAGACCCCCGGCTGTGGAGCGCTCCCACGCCTCTGGCTGCACGCCTCCCCGACCCTCCACCTTCGCAGCAACTCGAAGCTTGCAGCAAAAGCGCCCACCAAGAGACCTCCTCCCTCCTGGCCTGGGGCTGTCAGCCCGCTGCCGCCGCCGCCCAACTGGGAAGAAACCGGCGCTGGACCGGCCCAGAGCGGCTCCCGCCCCGTTCAGCTGCCCTGCGAAGCAGCCCCCAAGAGCTGAGCGGAACTTCCCCCATGGCCCCTGCCGCTGGATCCCCTGGTTCAATGTTTTTGAAACTTGGGGGGTATCTTGGGGAGAGGCTCCAGCAGCTGCCCTGTGAGTTTGGAGCCCCTCCCTCATACCCCCTCTTCTCCAACCCCTAGAATATACCCTATGTTTTCGCCATTGACTTCAATAGCCCATAGGATATAATGGGGCCGAAATTGACATTCGGCTTAAGACTCTGGAATCAGCTCCTAGTGCCGAAATTGACATGCAGGAGTCTTTCTGCCCACCAAAATTGATTCTGCCCGATTTGGCCAAATTCAAATTGGGCCGAAGTTGTTTTTTTTGCACACCCCTACATGTATTGCTATCAATTAAACAGGCCTGAATACTAAACTGGACATGTCAGATAGAAATTCCTTTGTATCAATTTTTTTTTTTAAAGGATGTTCATTTGTCCTGTGGCAATAATCCCCTGGTTCAATGTTTTTGAAACTTGGGGGGTATCTTGGGGAGAGGCTCCAGCAGCTGCCCTGTGAGTTTGGAGCCCCTCCCTCATACCCCCTCTTCTCCAGCCCTCAGAATATACCCTATGTTTTCGCCATTGACTTCAAAAGCCCATAGGATATAATGGGGCCTAATTGCCGCCGCAATTCGATGGCGATTCGGGAGCAAGCCGATTCAGATCAGAGAATCTGAATCGGCCCGCAGCAGCCCGAAAGGGCCCCGAATGGGCCATTTTCGGGGGTGCATTCGGTTCAGACGAACCGAATGCACATCCCTATATACATGTACAATCTATGAGCTGGTCAGAGATATGGGAGCATCATACGTGACATTAAAAAGCTTTTCTGAAACTCTCCAGTGCACTGTGGCCTGCATGTTAGTTATGCTGGACTGTGGAAGAGAATACACTCCAACCAATGTATTGTAGATTGATCTAAACCTTCATGTATGACCACATTCATTTTCCTGCAGCCCGGCACTATCCACCCCACACTTCATGAAACGGCAGGCTTGAATGGTAGCTTCGGAGTTGACCATCATGATTGGCATTCTCACTCTTTTTCTCCATCCCTTTGCAGGGATCATAGCATCGTGTACCTGGGAGACAAGAATGCGCTGAACCTTTCATTCCATGCGCAGAATCGTGGTGAAGGCGGTGCCTACGAAGCTGAACTTCATGTGACTATGCCGCCAGAGGCTGAATACACAGGGGTCCTGCGGGCCCATGGGGTAGGTACCTCATAAGAGAGATTTCTCCACTCCCAGACAAATTTATTCCCACATGAGAGGGGAAACCCCTTTTAAGATAGTGTCTGTTGTGACATGTGTGCTTCAGATATCAATTAAAGCACACACAATCCATTAAAAGGCATTGAATTCATTTGGCTAGGATTAATCCTAATGCTGTGGGAGGGTTCTGAGATTTCTCTGTTAGAGAACGCTAGTGTCTCCATTGGGGTTGTTCAGTCACGCAGTCGAGTCTGACTCATCGCGACCCCATGGACCCCATCACGCCAGGCCCTCCTGTCCTCCATCGTCCTCCGGAGTTTGCTCAGCCTCCATTATAGGGTCTCCATTACAGAACTACAATCCCCAGAGTTCATTAGAAAAAGTACTGTTAATCCAGTTTTAATAAGGTGGCTACTGTGGGCCTGGGCTCAGTGGTAGAGCGTCTGCTTTGCATGCAGAAGGTCCCAGATTCTATCTCTGGCTGAGGGCCTGGAGGGCTGCTGCCAGTCTTGAGTAGATAATACTGACCTTGACAAACTAATGGTCTGACTCCGTAGAAAGCAGCTTCATATGTTCATTATCAAGGAGGCAAGCCATGCTTCCTCTAAGCTGTGGAGACTTGTGAGCCAAAATTCTGCTTTGTGAGCTACTGGCATTAAAATTGTGAGTGAGCGATTTGGCTACTGCATAAATTAGTTTGCTCTGGAGCCATCCTTTCTGAGCCAAGACAAAAATGTGTGAGCCGCAGGCTAAAAAATTGTGAGCTAGCTCACACCAACTCAGCTTAGAGAGAACACTGACCATGACTCAGTGGTAGAGCTCCTGATTTGCACACAGAAGGTCCCAGGTTCAATCCCCGGGCAGAGTAGACAAGTCTGACATTGCTAGTCTGATTATTTAACTTGGCACAGGATAGCTTCATGTGTCCTCCTGTGCCCTGTAACTTCCAAGAACCGAATAGGAGTCACCTTCGGAAAGACGATTCCACCCACCCACCCCAGCCCTAGTTCCTTTGCAGAACAACCAGCAGTTGTTCTGGTGCAGTTCTGGTCACCACACCTTAAAAAGGATATTATAGCTTTGGGAAAAGTGCAGAAAAGGGCAACTCGAATGATAAAAGGGTTGGAACACTTTCCCTATGAGGAAAGGTTAAAGCGCTTAGGGCTCTTTAGCTTGGAGAAACGATGACTGAGTGGTGACATGATCGAGGTTTATAAGATTATGCATGGGAAAGAGCAGGTAGAGAAAGAGGTACTTTTCTCCCTTTCTCACAATACAAGAACTGGTGGGCACTCCATGAAATTGCTGAGCGGTCGGGTTAGAACGGATAAAAGGAAGTACTTCTTCACCCAAAGAGTGATTAACACATGGAATTCACTGCCACAGGAAGTGGTGGTGGCTACAAGCATGGACGGCTTCAAAAGGGAATTAGATAAGCATATGGAGCAGAGGTCCATCAGTGGCTATTAGCCACAAGGTATAGATAGGGGCTCTGGGGCAAGTGATGCTCTGTCATCTTGGTGCTGGGGGGGTCAACAGTGGGAGGGCTTCTAATGTCCTGGCCCCACTGGTGGACCTCCTGATGGCACCTGGTATTTCTGGCCACTGTGTGACACAGGGTGTTGGACTGGATGGGCCTTATGTTCTTATCTGCTTCTTCTAATAACAAGATTCTCTGGTTCTTTCCTGCCAGAACATGAATAGCCTGAGCTGCAAGTACGACACAGTGAATGAGACCAACAGAGTCATCTGTGACCTTGGCAATCCAATGAAGGCAGGTGCCAGTGTGAGTATCCCAGACTCCATGCCAGGATGGGCATTATTGTTAGAACAGGAGTTTTGAGGTGAGGTGCGGGTCGGGGGCTTGCAGAACTGCCTCCCTTACCCTAGAGTAGTGGGAGAACCCTTGCAGTCATGAAGGAATGCTTGGTGGGGGTGTGGAAATGGCATGGAATGTCTAGGATGCACGATTGCCCCTTGGGAAGAAAAGTTTAGATTTAGCCAGTGTCACCTTAAGTTAGCTGCAGTAGGGGGAACTCACCAGCAGTGGATGGGACGAGGCAGCCCCATTCTTTTGAAGTGACCCAAGCTGGCCTCAGCCACCTCTCCAGTCTGACGCAGAAGAATCTTGGAACCTAAAGAATCCCTCTCCCCACATCTTGTGAAGTTGGAAAGGTGTTCTGGAAAGTACCCTCACTGAGACATTCTGTAACAACTATGGGATATGTTTGGCTTGATTGTATTATGCTTGCAAAGGCTTTCCTTGCGGTCATGTCAGGAAGGCCTGTTGTCCAGGCAAGGGTGGTATTCGTGTTTACCACTGTTTCCCTTAAAAGTCTGGCAGCTGAATTAAAATCTGAAGATTTTGATTTAGAAAAGAAACGTGCTTCCGGGATACATTAGATCGTTCCCCAGCTTTACCCATGAAGATTTGAATCTTTTTCTACAAACATAACAACAAAGAAAACCCCACCACCCACCCTCTTCCCCAACATAGCCCATCAGCAAGAGAAGGAAGTAAGAGGAAAGGGAAGGAAAAAAAAGGAAAGAGCTGAGAGGCCGGATTTTTTTAAGGAAAAAGGAGGGTGAGAATTGGGGGGGGGAGGTAAGAGGCAGCGATGTGGATCATGATAAGCAAGGAGTGGAGAAGGTGCTCGAAAAGGCACTGGGAATTTTGGCAAAGGGAGGTGAAGCTCTTAGCAGCCTCCCAGCTGTCATACGCAATTCTCGCCCTTGTATCCCTGAAATGTTTTTCTTTTCTCCCTTCTATTGCAAGCCATTGTGCCTGCACCAAGGGCTACTGACTGTTTCAGTGACACCTGGTACAGAGACAAAGCAAGATCATCCACCTCCAGTACCAGCTGATTGGAAGCAAGGCCCAGGGCAGTGAATCATGCAGAGATGCAGTGGGCACTCTCCTCTGTGCATGGCCACACTGGGCTGACAGGAGCCTTTAATGAATTACTTTATTCATTTATCATGGCACACGAATGTGGCCAGTGTACAGTTTGGGAATTATTGGTGTATAGCAGCTCCAGGATATCACTGTAGCAAGTGGGCAGCATTTTCTACAAAGGTCAGAGTCAAAAAGCTTTGGTATAGTTAAAAACAGAGAGAAATAGAACTGGAAGGTACCCCAAGGGTCATCTAGTCCGGCCCCATACACAATGCAGGGAATTCACAGCTACTCTCCCCTCCCCCCCCCCGCTACTCCCCTCGTGACCCCTGCTCTAGGCCCAGAGGACAACCAGGAAGGGAAGGGGGCTTGAGCCTTTCGTGTCTGAAGTGCTTAGTCTTCATCCTTGCCCTGCTTCCTCCTTCACAACACACCACCGTGAGTTGGTGGGAAAGGAGCCCCAGGTCCCAGATCCTCACTCTCCTCTTTTTTGTTTCCCTCCCTAGCTCTGGGGTGGCCTGCGCTTCACCGTGCCTCGCCTTGCCGATACAAAGAAGTCCATTCAGTTTGACTTCCAGATCCAGAGGTAAGAGAGGCAGGAAAGAATCCCCAGATACCCCTCTGGCCTGTCCCTCTCCTCTGTCCTCCTCAGCCACAGCCAAACAGAAGAAAGACAACTCTGCACCATTTTGTTTCTTTTTCCTTGTTTGGCCTTGGTGTGCCCCCCTCCCTTTCTTCTTTCTATGAGACACACAACCCACAGATTTAAATGTTTTATTTATGGTTTGAACATAACACTGAAGAAAATAAGGTAGATGTTAGGATGTCCTGTTTCCAGTTGAACTGTTTCCCTATTCCAGCAACTGGGATCCTTTGTTACAAGTTGACTCTGTTCAGCCAGCTCTAAACAGCTTCCTCTCCACGCTTTCACTCAGCCAGACACACTCTCTGCTCCCTCACAGCTTCACTGCTCTCTCTTAACTGCCCTTTTCCAACTGTCTCTCCCCAACATTCCATCCACGCTCATTGGTCGCTTTTAGGGAGAGGTGGAAAACCTTGCCTGTCCACCACACAGCCCTTTCACGAAAAATGTCTGGAGAACTGCCCTCTTTCGATTCTAATGAAGATTTTCTGGACATGGCATCCCCCCTCCAAGTGGCAGTTCAACTCTACAGCATTCCCCCCTTGGTTAAACTTGCAGAGGGAGGCAGAGGGACACAGCTATGCTGTCTTTCAGAGACGGTTATCATTTCTGATCGTCATGTTAAGGAACCCCTGACAAGCTCCCAAGGAAGCCTAGGACTTTCCACGTCCCAGTCTGAAAATTACTTCCTTAAGTCATGGAGTGTGATTTTGTTGGGTGTCCATATTTATTAGGGAGCCACCCTGGCATGCGGCTTCCCATGAAAGCCTAATGTCTGAAGAAGAAAACAGGAACAAGAGGCATGCATCCTGACCGGAGAATCCTCCTAATAACCTTTTTGCGTCATTGTGCCAGCCTGTCATATGCTGCATGACCCCAACAGTCTCACGTAACCATGCCTTGTTTCTCCACAGCAAGAACGCCAACAATTCGCATAGCGAGGTGAAGTCGCTCCCCCTACGAGTGGAGGCCCTTGTTCGTCTTTCGACTCACGAGTGAGTGGGCCGCTCTGAGAAAAGGGCTGTGCTTAAGGTTTGAGTGAGAGAGATGCTGAAGAACAGTCTTGCCCACAGGTTGTGTTCTCCAGCCTGGGAGCTCTGCCCTCTAATCCCCCAGTGAATGGAGACAAATGATGGTTATTTGTTTATGTGGTTATATGCCACTTTTCTCCCCAATGGGCATAGTGGCTTACAGTAACGTTCTAATCTCCTCTTCTCCAGTTTATCCTCACACAACAGTCCTTTGAGCGGCAGGCCTGCTGCTTGATAGCTCCCAAGCCCCTCAGGAGATATAGGATGGGCCCCTATCGTCAGGAGGAGGAGACATCTTTTATATTTTCCCCATTTTA